TTATAGGTTATTATATTATCAAATATATATTTATTTTTATTTCATATTCTTTTAATTAATACAAAAGAATAAATTATATTTTCATTTATATTAATAAATTATTAGAAAATAATTTTTAAATAATAAAAACATAAAAATACTTATATTTTTCATTGGAAATGAAATAAAAATATAAAAATAATATAAAAGAAAAAGAAGAAATAAAAATAAAACATAGAATAATAAAGTTAATAAGAAATAGATAAAATAGATAAATTTTAAATATATAAAGAAGAAGATATTTAAATAAAACTCACTGTCATACTTCACAAATTATTAAGAAATTTGTAAAGTATGACAGTGAGTTTTATTTAAATATCTTCTTCTTTATATATTTAAAATTTATCTATTTTATCTATTTCTTATTAACTTTATTATTCTATGTTTTATTTTTATTTCTTCTTTTTCTTTTATATTATTTTTATATTTTTATTTCATTTCCAATGAAAAATATAAGTATTTTTATGTTTTTATTATTTAAAAATTATTTTCTAATAATTTATTAATATAAATGAAAATATAATTTATTCTTTTGTATTAATTAAAAGAATATGAAATAAAAATAAATATATATTTGATAATATAATAACCTATAATAAATCAGAGTTTATTTTTAAATGAAATAGATTATAAAATTATAAATATGAGAATAGAAAATAATTGTTTTTAATATTAAACAATATAATAAACAATGTTATAATATAATAAATAATATAAAATAAAATATTATATAAAATATAAATAATTAAAAAATAATAATATACCATAAATGATTTATCACAGTATTTTAAATTGTACCATAAAAAAATAATTATAAAAAAAGAAATAAATAAAGAAAATAAATAAAATAAATAAAAAATTATAATAAGTTTTATAATAATAAATAAAATAAATAAATAAATTAAAATAAATATCTCAAAGATGAAAATTAAAAATAAATTTATTTATAAATATAAAATTATAATAATAATAAATATAAAATTAATAAATCATTATAAATTTATAAAAATTTTAATAAAATAATAATATTTACTATTTTAATTAATTTAAGTAATATAATAATGTATTACAAATAAAATAA